AGAATGATGAATAGATGAATTGAAGGATGAACTGACTGATAATAAAAGTTGTTAGTTGGAGCTCCAGGCTCACAATTTAAAAAGGTAACACTGGATTCTGTTTGTTTTGTGTCTTATTTACTTAGTGTCATGTTTAGTGTTGAGCAGTCATTTGTGTGACTGTCATGTTTCTGCTTTTGCACTTCCAGGACATCATTTGTTTGTCAAACAGTGTGGTCGCCTCAGTGATGTCATTTACCGTCAATTTGCCGTAAATGAACTTTGAGTCAGTGGAGGTGGTGCTTGTCTCTTAACCCAGCAAGGCTAAATAGGCTAAATACTAGCCTGTATTTGGACTGTTTAATCCAAATAAATATCATTATTCTTTACTTTAAGTGGTTTTCTTTGTTAGTGGCAAAATAATATGAAACACTACTGAGTTACAGTAAATATATTGTAGAAAGAAATACATGTACACCTATAAATTGAAAGATTTAAATAAAGTTTTGGCCGTGCGATGCTGCCGTGTCGAGCAGTGAGCTTCAAAGCGCTGTCACCCGTCAGTTGGAGACTGAAGTGAAAGTCCATTATGCTGGCCTGAGCGGCTCAAAATATGGAAACTATTGATTGGATCCTCTGCTCTGCTAATTAAAGATGGTTCACTATTTGTAAAAAGTCAACCCAATTATCAAATGAGCACATGAGGCTGGGTGCTGCTGGTTGGTGTGAAGGTTGACTGACTGTCGGAGAGGGACGTTTTTCCAGCTTTACTTCAGCGTTGTTGCATCTTTTCACTGTTTCTTTTTTTTAAATGTTTGAGAGTGGAACTTTGTTTTTGGACACATGCTGAGATTTTATTTTGGCACAAATTTGAATCTTTTAATTAAACTATTTTTGCTAAGTTTTATTTGTATTACACTTGCTATGCTTGTGTGTTTGTTGTGGTCCAGAAGTGAGGGAATGGTACAAGAGCTTGTATCAACACTCTGGTTCAGGAGGACGTCCCAACAGAGCTGGGTGACCCGTGTCCCTTTTTTTTTTGCCCTCATCACCACCAACACCTACGCCACCATCTTCCCTCTACCCCCTTTTTCTGCTAAATGGGCAGCAACATGTGACCTGAACCACGAGGGTCCTGAGGCCCCACCCACACTCTCCTGAACTGTCTCTCGACATGTATTCACGCTTGTGTCTGTGTTTTACGGAAAGATGAGGCCAACAACACAGACAGACCAGGCCGAGTCAAGTGATACTGTCCACAACAAAGCCTATACATAGCAACACAGGCTGACCCGCAGGACGAGTACAATGTGTTTTGGCTAAATACAGAGTCGACCCAGCCCCACTGACAGAGGCAGAGACGAGATAGTAGTGGAATAGTAGAAGGCTGCTTGATAAAAAGATAAAGGACAGAATACTGCTGGATTTATGTTGTTTGACTTTAAAGTGGAAAAGACAAATCACAACATATATAGGAAATTATGTATAGATTTCCATGAAATCCTATGGTCTCTTATTCCTCATGATCCACCAGTTTGTCTAGACTGACCACAACACACAATTATCTGCCAGCAGTTCTGTCCCGAAACTGAAGAAACCAACACAAACTGCAGTTTGTTTACTTAGAGCTTTCAACAAGAGCAGAAAAGTCACTCAAAACTGCACCTAACCCTCCTGGTCAGACATTATCTGGACGTCCACTTGCTAATCAATGTTATCTTTTACATCGTTTTCCTTGTTCTGTTTTTTTTTTTTTCCTCTTTCTTTTTTCCCTTGCTGGGTACAAGGACTATATTTGGCTCTGCGGTGCTCAACCAATAGTACTTCTGTCACATGGCAGTCACAAAGCGCTCAGTAATTATAACCTAGCTAGGTTTCTGCAAGGAAGGCTTGCTAAAAATACCCCCACATTGTTGCAGTGATGGGGCAAAAGCTGGAGGTTTCTGAGGTTTGGTCGTATGTTTTTGTGTGTGAATACGTCTGTGTGTGCTCAGGCGAGATGAGTGCATGTGATTCTCTATATCACGTCTCTTCAAATCCAGTCTGATCGGTTTGTGTTCGTCTTGGTTTCCACAGAAGCGCTAATTGAAAAAAATAGATGCAGTTAATTATGTGATTTGCTTGACCCAGCTTGTTCGGTGACTGTGAAGTTACCACATCCCTGCGTGTTGCTGGGTTGATTTCAGATTTAGATTTTTTTTTTTGTCTCGGTTAAAAGATTATGTGTGAGTTATCTTTTTGTTTCATGCATCTCCCACCAAAACTCCCTTTCTATCTTTCACAAAGCACAGAAACTAAAGTTGATTAACTGAAGGAAAAAAAATCTATTTAGATGATTCATTCAACATTTGCTATTATTTTTTGTTTTCAAGCTACGAAGCAAACACTTCCCCGTCCACGTGTTTGATTTCTCAGTTGTGAGAATCTGTTATTAGATTAGATTAGTTGTATAATTGATTGATAATGAGCTAAAGAGGGAAATGCTGCAACTAATTGTTTTATTCATCATTGATTATTCTGTGGATTCTTTTTTGATAAAGCGTTTAGTCTGTGAAATGTCAAAAAATGCTTAAGCTGATACCTTTAAAAGTCGTTTTATTTTTATCACATGTCCAAAGATCCCTACATATGCTCCCCTGCTGCTGCTGTTAATAAAGTAGTTTATTTCTTTATGTTTTTACTATTTTTCTTCTGGTGTCTTAAAATTATTCACAAGCAGAAGATATAAGTTAAACTGCTCACATAAGATCACGGTACCAAATAATACGAGCATGTCTTCAAAACATTATGTTCCAAAGACAGCGTGACTTTAAGTTTCGGTTTTGAGTGTTTCGTGTCTGTATGTAGAGAGTTTCACATTTAGATCCATCAGTTCAGTCTTGCAGCTTGACCAAAAAGTAAAACACTGTTGGAAGGTTGGGATGTAAATCAGTGGGATTGTGGCCTCTGCAGCCTGAAAGAAAAGCATTGTGGGGATTTTACACACTCGATGAGACCTCTGATCAGCCTGTGGAGATTACCTGGCACGTGTATCTCAGCTGGTTAATAAATACATAGTGTTCTGTCCACTAAAATAATAAATTGCAATTTTAAGATCTCACTTTAGGCGGTGGTGATATTTTTTTCCCATGTACTTAAAGACTCAGAAACAGTTTAATAAAAGTGAGTAAATAGAAAATATTTACTTCAGCTTTCGATATGAAAGAGAATGTAGACAGCTCATTTTGCATATAGTCATATTTTCTCTGTCTGTACTGTATGTTGTGTCTGGTGATACAGTAGATGCACGTCCTGCACATGAACATGAACTCTGTGAGAAAGTGGAGTGCTCTCTCAGGAATAGACTTACTTCTCCTTTTGTGCGGACTATGCGAGGCAGAAATAAAGTTGCGCGATGGAAACGATGTGAGAGCACATGAGCGGTGTCTCTGTTACCTAATGGTTCATAATGGAGCATTCATTCTCCGCCATTTAATTCTAGATGGGTGTGTTAGGTGTTGTACTTTTTTAAGGGCTGATTTGAACATGAACTGAGAACTGTCCTGGGCCGAAACATACAGAAACCCAAACCCTGACTGCTAATCTTTCGTGCGTCAGGTTTCTTGTATGCTGCAGTCATGTTGGGAGTCTTGTGGGATTCCGAGGCCACAGACGGTTGTTTGAGAAGTGAGGGATTGTGAGATACAGTCAGCTGGTTTGTCCTTTGTACCAGAGTCACTAACTGGGAACTAGAGGTCGGCCGATGTGGATTTAAGGGACCGATGCTGATATCTGGGAGTAAATTATCTCTGATAGCAACATATCACCTATATATATATATATATATATATATATATATACACACACACATTTTATAGACCAACTGATAAAATGAGCTTTACAAGTAACTTTTCTCAGTAATAATAATCTTTTACTTACTTTACTCTTATAGGAAACAAATAACACAACCTTTCTCTCCATTGTAGTTGGGTTTATTTTGCTTTTATAGTATTTTTGGTTGCCCATAACTTTTTGTCAATCAACTAATCATTTATCAAACTCACCTTTGGATGTTGCACATTTAAATCTGTTGGAAGTCATTTTTGTCACTGGTATCTTTGCTTTCTGGCCCCAGTTAGTTTTAAACCCTGATGTAGTCCACTGTTGACTCCAACAGTCAGTAGGTAACAGATTCAGGCTCAAACATAAACTGTGATTAAGAGACCTATGGAATGGCAAAGGACTCTTTAAGTAATGTATACACGTTCACATCAGTCACATCAAATGACATTTCTTAGTTATTGTACCATAGTAATGTGTTTATAAGGGCTTTAGTTTAGGCTATATGCATCCTGGCCCTGATGCCGTCCTGGTTGGGGTGTGTTCATGGTGAGATCCAGACCGTCCAGGGGCCTGAGTGATGGTGTGTCCCCAGCCCTGTCCTGAGTCTGCTTGCTGTTCTGCAGAGAGGCCGAGCTGCTGCTGCTGCTGCTGCACATGCTCTCTCTGTAGTGAAGAGACGGCAACAGCAAGCTGTCCAACCTCCACAATAACCACCTTATGTAATCACTCTGGCTAGAGACAGACAAAAATAGCTCAGACTGAGCAGGCCTGCCCTCTTGTGGTAACCATCCGCCTTAACAGCGGCCTGTCAAGCCTCGACAGGGAGTCAGACATGGCGGCTGCCTCTTGCAGGATTCTCTGTAGATCACATGAACTGAACAAGAGAGGGATTTCACAAATGATCAGATTTGAAGATTTGCAGTATAGAATGGAAATGTTCATATAAATGGATTCATTTGTTCTTAGATTGGTTTAATGTGAAAGTGGCTTAATGTTTTTCTGAGAGAGGTTTAGGTTTGTTTTTGTATATCTGGGAATCAGCTTTTACAGAGAATACTGTCATGTGCGTCCTAGTTTTCTTATGTTGTGACATTATTTTTTCTGTAGTTTAATCTTAATATCTTTGTTTTCCTCACAGGCTTTTGAAAAAGACAAACCCGAGAGCTAAATCGGTGTCTCTTCTGTTTCTCTCTTTACAGTTTCCTGGACAGAATTGACTCTGTAAGACAGAGCGACTACACACCAACGGACCAGGTGAGTCCTCCTTCTCATCTGTTTTTTAAGAGATTTACTTTAATAGCCTTCAAAATCCTGCTTTTTCTAATTGTTCACCACTGACCTGGACTTTTTAAAATGTCTCACAGGACCTGTTACGCTGCAGAGTGTTAACTTCAGGGATTTTTGAAACGAGGTTCCAAGTAGACAAAGTCAACTTTCAGTAAGTTTTTGCTCAGCTTTCACTGGAACAAAAATGAAACACTATGTTTATTCATCCTTTATTTTTTGACATTTTTGAGTTTATACAAAGAAATGGTGATGACCAACTTGTTTACTGCTTTGAACATTCCAAATCTCCCGTTCCCACCCAGACACAGAAACAGGGGTCAATCAAAATATCTGCAAAATCCTTGAGAGTTTGAAAAGCCTGAGGCAGTAACACTGTTTTTAAAATGTCTGTATGGCATTTTATCAAAACGTACTATTGTTCCAGGCTTTACTGTATAATACATGTGTTGGCTTTAAATAAATCAGCTATCAGTTATTGTTTCAATCCGTCCATTCATCGATCCATTCATAGCCTGTCAAGGTCCAGGGGATGTTTAATGAAAAATTAATGATATTAACTGGACATAATTGTTATTAGCATCCAGGAAACACTGACAAAATGAAATATAGGTTATTAAATAAATGCCCTTGGAAGCACCGGTGTGGTAGTCCAGTGGTGAGCGCTGTCGTCTAACAGCAAGAAAGTTCCAGGTTTAAATCCTGGTCAGATCAGATGTTCCTGAGTCTTCCTGTTTCTATGTGGGTTTTCTCCCTCAGTCCAGAGACAGGCTGGTGGGAGTTCCAGGTTTATTGGAAACAGTAGGTGTGAATATGAGAGTAAATAGTTGTTCCAGTTGTGATACACTGGAGACACCCCGCCTCTCGCCCAATGTCAGCCGGGATTGCCTTCAGCTCCCCCCATGACCCCCCAAAGAAAAAGCAGTATAGATAATGGATGGATTCTTAAATATACTAATGAGGAAACAGTTATTGAGGAGAAACAACAGGTGATCGTGGTGACTGTAAAAGCAGAGTCTGAAATGGCAGCAGAATAAAACCATGGAAGAAAAGGATAAATGATCAGTCTGAAACTAATTCAAAGGACCTAGAATATGATTTGAATCGTTTGCGGGCGACCAGTCTGGTTTCCGAGCCAACTGAAAACTACTGACCAGTGGCTGCAGTTCTAAGAGCTGCTGATAAAGGTTAGAGTAAATGTTCCGTAACTGCTTTGATGATGTCAGATGAGATGACCCATTTCCACAGTCGCAGACACAACAGACTTATTCTACCATCTGAAACGAGTCTTTGTATCAAATTATATCATCCCCAATGATTGATATAAAGCTCTGGGACACGACTTCCTTTTGGGCGTGTATTCTACGTTGTGCAGCTGTGATGACTTCCAAACATCCAGCCAGGGTCACGCAGGGTACCGAGTCTGTGCGGATAATACTGTTCTTTATATTATTTATTCATTCATTCATTATTCATGTCCCGCGACTGGTCCCATTAAGATCCAGAATCTCTTTTCTCCAACTAGACCTGAGGTCAGGAGCAGATTTGGCTCAGGACGGAAAACAGATCTTTTGTGGTGATCTAAATAAAATGTGCATATATATCAACAGTCATTACAATTTAAAGAAAGTATTGTGTGGATGTGCTCAAGCCAGGCAGGTCCACTACAGTACAACGTGTACCTGGCGTCCTCAGGCCCGTCCCAGTAGAGATGTGAACTGTGCGACCACAAGAGGGCAGCGTTGAGTTGTGTTGTTGTGTCTGACCCAGTATTTTGTCTCCTCCGCAGCATGTTTGATGTTGGGGGCCAGAGAGATGAGAGGAGGAAATGGATCCAGTGCTTTAACGGTGAGACATTTCAAACTTTTCCTTCTTCTCGTCTTTCTTCAAACAGCCACAGTGTTCATCATCAACCCCCGACACCTCCTCCAGTCACATCTCACATCTTCACATATTTTCAGTTTAACTTCAGCATCACTTCACCTCTTATGTCAGATGTCAAACAGCCGTCCTCTATTATTTAAGGGGTTTTCACAACTGAACGTTGTTTCATGTGGTTAGTTTTGGGTTCACATCCTATAAAGACTTTAGTTTGACCAACTCCTGACGTGGTCCGTCTCTCCTCTCCTCTCCAGACGTCACTGCTATCATCTTCGTGGTGGCCAGCAGCAGCTACAACATGGTAATAAGGGAAGACAATAACACCAACAGGCTACGGGAAGCCCTGGACCTCTTCCGCAGTATTTGGAACAACAGGTGAGACAGAAACGTTTGTGAAATCTGAGCCGAGTTTACGTCCATGAGAGCTTCTGCTGTGTCATTCCTACCGTGACTCACCTCTACTGTCTTTTTATTGTTTTCTCTTCATTGAGATGATGAAAGATGAAGTCTTTCTTTACTGTATACATGTAAATACTCACAGCTGTTCCTTTAACATGACAGCCCTGTGCCTGCACTGCTGATATCTCTCCTGTAATGGTTTTTGTGTGATTGTTTTTCAGATGGTTACGCACTATATCGGTCATATTATTCCTGAACAAGCAGGACATGCTGGCTGAGAAAGTATTAGCTGGAAAATCCAAAATTGAAGACTACTTCTCTGAATATGCTCGCTACACCATACCAAATGAAGGTTTGTGTCCCCATGTCCTCACACGCTTTTTACAGCTTTACTGTTGTAATCTGTGTTGACTGTCAACGTGTCGTTCTTTCAGCAACTCCTGAACCTGGTGAGGACCCGAGAGTGACGAGAGCAAAGTTCTTCATCCGAGACGAGTTTCTTGTAAGTGCCACGCCGTGTGTCAGGGGCGTTTTGAATCGAGATGAAGACGATGAATGTTCAGCCATGAGCAGCCTCGTCCTGTTAATTCATAACTTGGTGTTTACTGCTCTGCGTCGCTGGGTTGATGCCAAACACAAATACCACCTGCGCAAGTTATGCAGAACTTGATGAACCAGTTCTGTGACCCTGTGACCTTCTCACCAGAGCTGCTTTCAGACATGCGCCGGACTCTGTAGTTCCTCTGTATTTTCTCCGAGCATGTGTGAACATGATGACGACACACGACAGACGCAAAAAATGAGAAAACATAAAGAAAACAAACATCTCCCACACACACGTAGAATAAAAACAGACGAAGATGTCGAGAGATTTGTGGTGATAAGAGACGGTGTCGGGTGATGTTAACGTGAACTCGTGATCTCCACATCGGAGTTAACACGTCACTTCCTGCCTCTGTCTGCTGCACCAGGCTGCTCCACCTCTCGTCTGAATAATGCGGAGGATTTGTTGCTGTTGTCAACGTGTCCATGCAGAGAACCTCCTGCTGCGGCCGTGTCTGAGAACGGCTCAGGACAAGTCGTCCTTAGATGAGCTGCAGAGCGACACCGGTTTAAACAACCAGTCTTGTTAGAAGAACCAAGTAACATTCTGGTTTATTCTGTAAAATAAAAGTTTTCACATCAGCAAACAAACACAGACACTAATATGTCCTGAAAGGTTCTATCGATAAATTGATCAGGCTCTAATGATTAGTAATTGTCCAGTCCATCATTTACTGCTCACTGTTACTAAACCAACTGTTTCAGAGTGAACTGTGTGAGTACAACTCTTTGTCTCTATTATAGGGAGAGAACTGAACGAGAGCCTCGTTGGAGGAGCTTGAGCTCATCACCTCTGCTCTTATCACAGATTAAGTGACGTCTGATCTCTCTCTCTCTCTCTCTCTCTCTCTCTGTCTCTCTCTCTTTCTCCCCCCCCCTCAGCGGATCAGCACTGCGAGCGGCGACGGCAGACACTACTGCTACCCCCACTTCACCTGTGCCGTGGACACAGAGAACATCCGGCGGGTGTTCAACGACTGCCGGGACATCATCCAGAGAATGCACCTGCGGCAGTACGAACTCTTGTGATGGGAGACCGCCTCCGTCAGCCTTCTGTGTTTTTCTCCACCATTGTGCATCCTTGACGAACCTTTCCTCCTGCTCCTCCTCCTCCTCACCCTGAACCTTCACCCTTCTCCACCCCCAAAGAAACCCTCAACACCCCCCTGACCACCCCTCTTGTCGAGGACTATGAAGTACTACTGAAGTGTGTCAAATACTCTTCCTCTTCTTAACTTCTTAGCTTTTTGTACTTCTTCTTTTTTTGTTTTTTTTTTCTCTGGGACTGATTTATCCCCATTTCACCGATGTAAAAGGAAGGTTGGGGAACAAAGCTGTTGTGTGCCGCTTCTTTTTCTTTCTTTTTCTTTTTCTTTTACTTGTTCCTTTTAAATGCCTTGATTTTTGTCATTCCACTAAGCCTTGGGCTACCTCCTTTTTTTTTTTTTTTTTTTTTTTTT